AATTGAGTGAAGAGAATGACATTATCACTCAAAGAGAATAGAATCACTGAGATGATCACTGTACTTATTTTGGAAAATCAAGTATTGAAGCTGGTCTTTAAAACTGTTAAGAGGGGCGCCTGGGTGGCTCAGTCGGTTAAGCGTCTGACTTCAGCTCAGGTCACGATCTCGCGGTCCGTGAGTTTGAACCCCGCGTTGGGCTCTGGGCTGATGGCTCAGAGCCTGGAGCCTGCTTCCGATTCTGTGTCTCCCTCTCTCTCTGCCCCTCCCCTGTTCATGCTCTCTCTCTGTCCCAAAAATAAATAAATGTTAAAAAAATAAAAAATAAAATAAAACTGTTAAGAGACATATTATAACCTATGGAAATAAACAGTTCAGCATATAATTTATCCACCCACTAAAATATATCCTAAAAATTATCTGAAACTTCCTTTTATTACATTGTCCCTTATTAAATGTGTATTAATGAGTGTATATTGACATTTCTTTATTCCCAATACCAAATTTGATTTGTATTATCTAATGTCAGCATACTATCTATCCACTCCTTATAGAAGGTTCCTCTGCCCAAACATAGTAGATACTAATTTTTAGTTACTTTCAGCAAAAGTTATGCTTTCCTGTGTATCATTTATTGTCTATTCTAAGTCCTTTTTTGGCTAAAAAATCATGTCATAGGCAGGCTTTTCAAAATACCATATAGCAAGTGGATTTTGCATCAGTGAGATGCTGGGACCCTTTGGAGTTATTGGTTTGTTATATTTGGAATTCTGATGCTTTGACATGCTGCCGTGCTCAATGAGTCTTTGTTAAACTGAAAGGTTTTGCTTTCTGGAAGTTTTGGGCAATTTAAAAATAAGCCAACGTAGACCATAGTATAGTTGATTATAAAGTTGGCTTCCAGTTGTTGAGTGTATGTGACAGGCACTTCCAAGATAAGCCATATGGAAGTAAAAATGGAACTAGAAAGAAAGGATTTCCCTGAAGCACAGTCAGCAGACGTACTGGATCAAATCCTAGGCAATATTTCCAATGACAAGTATTTCTTTTGAATACATTTAAATGGTTTATCATTCCATCAACTTGCTTTTAATAGGTTGCCATGAAAGAAGGGATATGCATTAATTCCATAGCATGCATTTAGTGATGGTCAACCTGTTCTTTGCATAATTATGGAGAAATGAAGCTACCACAGAAGAGTTATAATCACTTTGTGATAATAAAAAGAGTCCTTTCCCCCAAATTTAGCCAGAAATCTGAACTGTCTTACTTAGTTTAGGCTTCAAAGTGAGTTACTGGATGAGCCTGCCTGACAGGTTCTGCTTCTGTCCTTTTTCACCTGGGACACTAACACATTCTCTTCTCACAGCTGACTAGGGCCCAGGTAGAGTAAGGGAGTTAATAGGAAATCTCACAGCTATGTATTTGAAGAACCAGCAGATGTAAGCATACCCCTGTATTTAGTCAGTAAGGCTGATGGATTGGGGGCAGGACTGCACTCATTTCACTTTGGTGTCCCCACAGTTGCTAAGACCTTGCCTTCCACTTGGAGAATCAGCTGGGGTTAATAACATGTTTATTTTTTTTTTCACATATAAAATGGTTACTTTTTTTGTAAAAACAACCATAAAAATTGAGAACATAATCTAACTGATAATTAATAATATCTGTTGCCTGTTGAATGCCTATTGGATTTAGAGTTTTAGGTGCATGGTTTTTGAGCCTTATGCTAGCCCTGTTGTGTGGAGATATTGTACCTATTTAACAGATAAGGCTGCTGGACTTGGGTCCTGAAAATAGAGAAGCAGCTTACTGGCCATCCAGTTAGACTCCCCAGCCTTCTGTGCATCAGTCCTAAAGATCACTTACAGTCCGTCATTTCAGAATCACATAGGAAAAGACAAGCACCAGAATTTATGTTCAGGAGCTGATGCCTTCTAGTTCTTAGATGTTCAGAGGGGAGCAACCTATACTGGGCTCTGTGCATAAAGCCTGAAAGTGGTGACTCTCTAGAAATACCTTATGAGATTTTCTCCTGGGGAGGGGGGTGGTGGAGGGAGGGGCAGTTGTCAAAGTAAAACATTTCAAGAGAGGATGGAGCTAGTGCATTTCCAGTAGCTAATTAGGAAAAAAAATACATTTCTAATTGTTTTCTTGGGTCCTTTTTTTCCCTCACTACACTTTTCAATTGCTTTCTAATGTTGAAATCAGAAATTATTTGTTTAGTGTATGACTAAAAATGAAGGACTTAAGAGAATGTCCATAAATCTAAAGCCTTAAATATAGTCCTTAGAAATCAGCTGAAACCATGAAGACCACTCAGAAAATATGGGGGAGAAAAGAGTGCCAAGTTCTTACTAATGAAGGGGACAGTGTATTGCTGTAGCTGTTCTGAGAGGCTTTAATCCTGCTGCTGAGACCATATGTATGCATGTGTACATACACTAAAATATTTACTTTTTTATAAACTGCCTTTGTGAAATATTTCTTGAGAGAAAACAGCAATGTTTAAATATATTTGCTTTTTAAAAATTGCTCCATTTTTCTGCCGTTGAGTTTGAAACATTTTAGAGAGTAAGATTCAAGTACGTTATTTAAAATGAATACAAAAGTTTTCTTTCCTTTTAGCTAAAAATGTTCATAACATTCACTCCTTATAGTAATGTCTTCTGGTATTCTTTTTTTCTAAAAGAGTCAGAGTCTAAGTCAGTGATAGTTGCAGTGTTAAACTTATTACTGGAAGTATGAGAATGATTAGTTGTAAGTTCAGTTTTTCCTGTGTCTTAGGGATAGAGTGGAGCTGTAGATGGAAAATCAGTAAATAACGGAACAATTTTTCCAGAGGTCACATAAAAGCTGGCTCTTGGTTATTTCCTTCATTTCCTTTGTCTTATCTCACCAAAAGGTCTGATGGTAATCAGTTCCCAGCTTTGAAATACAATTGCATTGAATTTGGTTTAGTGCATTGTACTGACTTTATAGATCATTTCATTGTATTAACCTCTTGTTTTTGTGTCTGTCATAGCGATATTTGTCTTTGTGGGATTTGACTTGTTGGTTTTGATTTGAAAGGGTTGCCATCCCACTGAAACTGTTAAATAATGAGTTTCTCTCTTCATTTTTTAACTCAACACATTGCTGGCATCCTCTCCAGTGTTGCAGTAAGAGGTCTCCAAAGTTACTTTGCCCGTTGTAGGGAGACATCAACTTGATATCTATTTTATGGTTTAAAACAGAGCCTTTGGCTTAATGTTTGTGATTTTCTTTTCCATCTGAATCCTGGCTACTTAAGTAGTTAGTATTGGCTCTATTCAGGTAGTATCCTTTGCGAATTCATCCACATACAACTTAGGTTTTAATGGACGGTCAGAGAACATACGGAGGTACTCAGTTGGGGTCATGCTACACAATGTTCTCCGTAAAGAAGTGTCTTTCCCTTGTGTTGTTGTTCTTAAGTTAGAACACATAATAGAAATATAAACATAGAAGAATATAGTATGTACCTAGGAAATTTGTAAGTATCTTTTAAAAAATCCTATTAAGACATAAATTGCCCATCTTAGTGTGAACCACTCTTGCTTGTTTTTGTTTGTTTGTTTGTTTTTAATAAAATATGTAATGTTTGTGTGATCTCACCATTGAAATAAAGACACAGGAGTCAAGCCTTGTGAAATCAATCTCGACCTTACCATGTAACTGTACATTAAAGTGGGGTTTTCCCCCTTTTTGTTGACTAGGTAATTTGATAGAGAATAAAACTTCTGCCTTTTTAGAAGGTCCAGTATCTAGATAGAAGGAGCCTGAGTCCTTTGAGCAACAGATGCTGCACCTGGGAAACAGAAAATTACAATATTATTCACAGAATGCTACTAATATTTATATTCAACATAAAAGCAAATAATTATCTAGCAATTCTATTCACTGGACCAAAAAATTCTAGTGTCTATGATGATAATGCCTCATTGCTTTTGTTTAAATCCAGAGATTATGACTTTCGAATCTTTCTTTTTCAAGGTGTGCTTTCCTAATATAAAATGGGACTAGATTTCTTTACCTAGAGAAATGCATTTCAGTGAAGAATTACCCCCACCTTTTCTTTTAATCTGAGATAGAATGGGTAAACATGTTCTTACCTATGACCTTACTAGAAAATATAGTGTTGTGTTTATCATTTATGCTTTTTAATACCCAAAGTACACATTCAGTAAGTTGAAACACATTCCAGACTTTGAATTCATTATTTTTTGTTGCATGTTGAACTAATTGGCTTGAATACTTTTATATGCTTCTGTTCAACTCCACATACAAATTGTAGAGTATTCATCTGAAATGTATGAATTTTAAATTATTTAAACTTTATACTGCTAGTGTATGACCCTCTGAAACTTTTTAAAGAACACACAGCTCTTTTCCCTCTAGACATTACAGATTTAATTTGTTTTAGATACGAAGCCATTTATCTTGTATTTTTAAAAATGCTATGTTGTTTATTATGCTTTGATAGATTCACAAATTATTTCTACTTTTCTTTAAACAAATGTATTTGGAAATTGTGATAGTTCAAGATGAAATACCTTGTGCCTTTTAAGCCTTGATGGATGAACACTAACTATCCCACCATGTCATTTAAATGGCTGAGCATAATCTTCCTGATGCGGTCCATAATATATATCCCAGAACAAATTTGTGTTTTCTTTTCAAGTACTCTAAAATTTCAAATACCTCTTTCCTTATTTTACTCAGCAACAATCTGCAATTTATTTTTCTCCAGGAAAATTGAATCTGTTACTGCTTAGTATTCTTACCAGTTTGAAAAATGTGGTTTATATTGGCATCAGAGCAGTAATTTACATATATTGGGATAACAGGAATGCGTGCCAGGAAAAGATCAACATAAAACGAAATGCAAAAAAGCTGTTTTTCTTCAACAGCAACTCAGAGTGAAGCTAATAGAGAAATTGATGAACATCTGCCCTGAATGTGTCACTTGTTTCTTCTAGGTGAAGTGTGACCAGTATTGGCCCAGTAGAGGCACAGAAACCCACGGGCTGGTCCAGGTGACGCTACTTGATACCGTGGAACTGGCCACGTATTGTGTTCGAACATTTGCACTTTACAAGGTTTGCCTTCCCCTCCCCCCTTCCTCTTTCCATTATTTAAAGAAAGCATCTTTTGAGAAATCAAATATCTTATGACTTTGCTTAAATCTTGATTCCACTGGCAACAGTGAACAATGAAATAATTCTTCCATTATCGCTCAGCAACTTTTCTCCTTGTCCAGCGATCTATCAGTAAATATGGAACTCTCACTCTGAGCAGAAGTGTTGGCAAATGAAGAATAGAAGAACTAGTTCTTTCTGTAAAAATAACAGGAGCATTCCTGATAGTTAAACCTGGAAAATATAATGCTTCTCACCTAAGAATTTTTATCTTCCTGAGCAAATAGTTGTCATTTACAAATAGCTTGACATTGATATCTCCAAGGAGTGTGTCTTCCCAAAGGTCATATGGTAGGGGGAAGGGATTAAGATAGCACATTTTCACATTACCTCTACCCTGTTATTACCCATCATTGCAACCTGAGGACAGGAAAACAGAATCTCACCTTGTCTTCCTACTTCACAGAATGGGTCAAGTGAGAAGAGAGAAGTGAGACAATTCCAGTTCACTGCCTGGCCTGATCATGGCGTTCCAGAACACCCTACACCTTTTCTAGCTTTCTTACGCAGAGTCAAAACCTGTAACCCTCCTGATGCAGGCCCTATGGTTGTGCACTGCAGGTAAGAACCACTGAGAGCATTTGTGTTTCTCACAGAAGGTTTGCAAGGAAACAAAAGGTTTCTCATCGGATATTCTCTTTCCAAATTCTTGATACTCTGGGATAGTAGATGTCTCTATAAATAACACAAGGGGTCTTTTGTTTTTGGTCAAATGAGGCCTATGCTAACATGAATAGACAGAATTTGATATAGATGAATATTACCCTTTGTAGATAATAAGCAACTGTGATTCATGCTATTTTCTCTTTGGAGCAAAGATAAAAATAATTGTATGAAACAGAAAAGAATTAAGAATCAATCTTGTAATATCATTCAAGTTTCATCTGTGTGAGGGGATTCTCTTTAAAATGTAGGTAGGTAGGTAGATGAAGTGCTTGACAAGTTCTTGTGACCTGGGATGGTACAACCTTTTTACTATTTATAGGAAAAAAAAATGCTGAACAAAATAATACTATAAATATAAAAGCTTTTAGCTAGAGTGTCTTATTGCTTAAATATACCTTCTACATATTAATATTATCAAATCACATATAGAAAATATACTAATTTGAGTTTTACAAATTTATTTAACATAATATATACAAAGACCTATTTTTTGGAAGAATTTATTTTATGTACTTGGAGGTAATGCATGTGCATTTCTTTTGAAATTTTGTATACTTTATTATTATTTTTTACTTAATTCTAACATTCTCTGTATCACCACTTATCTTCTACTATATATGTGTTTTTACATTTAAATGATTTTTTTTTAATTTTTTTTTCAACGTTTATTTATTTTTGGCACAGAGAGAGACAGAGCATGAACGGGGGAGGGGCAGAGAGAGAGGGAGACACAGAATCGGAAACAGGCTCCAGGCTCTGAGCCATCAGCCCAGAGCCTGACGCGGGGCTCAAACTCCCGGACCGCGAGATCGTGACCTGGCTGAAGTCGGACGCTTAACCGACTGCGCCACCCAGGCGCCCCTAAATGATTTATTTTTTTTTTAATTTTAATTATTTTGGGGCTTCTGGGGGGCTCGATAGGTTGGGCGGCCGACTTCGCCTCAGGCCATGATCTCACAGTCCATGAGTTCTAGCCCTGCGTCAAACTCTGTGCCGACAGCTCGGAGCCTGGAGCCTGCTTCAGATTCTGTGTCTCTGTCTCTCCCTGTCTCAAAAATAAACAAATGTTAAAAAAAATTTAAATTAAAAAAAATTTAACTATTTTTATAGAAGAGGGAGGGGCAGGAAGAGAGGGAGAAAGAGAATCCTAATCAGGCTCCATGCTGTCAGTGTGAAGCCTGATGTGGGCCTTGAACTCACAAACCCTGAGATCATGACCTGAGCTGAAACCAAGAGTCAGATGCTTAACTGACTGAGCCACCCAGGCACCCCAACTACATATTACTATATAAAATCCATAATACTACTATATAATCTATAATAATTCTTTGTAATCTGGGTGATTCAAATATGAGAGAATATGGCTCCTTGCACAGACAAGTAAAATTGCAGTGGGAAGTATATAAAAAAAGAAAGAAAGAACCTATCATAAATCACTTCTGTTGTGACTTAATAGTACAATTCTTTCACATCCTATATTATATTTAAGTATAATACAGTAAGTAGATCTTATAAGTGACATCTGTTTTTACACAACATGGGGACAATACCTAGAACAGAATAACCGCAATAAAATTCACCTAACCCATGATACCGTGGTCATTGTTACACAGTGGCCTAGCAGGTTTTGAACAAGATGAAGTTGTTTTTCTCTTTACCAACAATTTTTCCCCAACAAAAACTAATAACACCACATTATGTTTATAGAGCATTTTACAAATTCCAAAGCACTCTCCCATGGTTTATTGTGTTTGATGTCATTACCAGTATGTCGGATCAAGAGAAGAGCGTAGAAGAGAGGCTACAGGGTTTGGCCCAAGTACTGCAGCTAGGAAGCCAGACAGAGTCCCACTAATGTCTTATAATCTAGTACTTGCTCCTCTGGACCTGACACCATGTTGCAGTGTTTCGCATGATTCTGAAACACCACAAAATATTTTTATTAATTTGAGTAAATGCTTTTGCCTCACGACAGCAGACTTCTGGTTTTCGTGCCTGTTGGTTTCAGCAGGCACTAGTGTGACCAGTCTCTATACTCTGTTATACATACTTCTTTGTAGACCTCAAAGAGCCATTGTGCCTGGTGACATGGTGCATCTTCTTGGCACCAGCTCGACTTGATTCTAAAGATCATGTATGAAATGTTTCCTGATGGATTTTGGCCACAGGATAGGGAAACAGAAAGTTTGGGCTCACTGAAGAAAATTGCTCTCATATGCCTAATGGCAAAAATACAATTCATGCAAATATATATACACACACACACAGATGTATACACAAGCACATACACACACACATACACACACACACACACACACGTATACATATATATACATATACATGTGTGTGTATATATGTGTATGTGTATATTTATGTATATATATACACACACACATACACAAACATAATAGGAATAAAATTTAGGGGAAGCAAACTTGGAAGTTTTCACAAAACATTGTATTTGCATTATAGTTTGAAATATAGCATTTTCCCTCTTTCAAAACATGATTTCAATTTCTGTATATTAAAGGAGAAATTTGGTTGATTGATTATTTAAAAATGCAATTTGTCTTCTGTTGATCATAACCAAGGTATAATGCTTTATGTTGGATACTCATTTGGATCCAAAAAGGTTTGCAGGCAAGTAAGAGAGATAAGATGGATAGCTATAATGCTTTATTTTGAGAAAATGCATACACCCCTCCACACACACACACACACACACACACACACACACACACACACCCCTATGTTATGTTAAGCCACCTGGACTCACCCCTGAAAGATACAAACAACTCCAGAGAAATAAGAAAACAAAGATGAATGTGCTGAGCTAATAGCTGTTGACATTTGAAAGTGCTGTGCCTGAGGCTCTGGAGAAGCTTTGTGCGAAACAGAAAAATAGGTATATTGGTGAAAGAAACTTATTAGCAGCTTTGAAATAATGAGGGAAAGATGCAGCATGAACTAAAGCTCTGAGAAATGATCTTTGTTCACCCATGGGTTGTCTTATAAGTCTGTGAGAAATCTTGGCCTCTTTATTTAGGAAAGGCCATGTTGCACACTGTTATAGTTGCAAAGCATCATGAATTCTTGATTTGGATACAGTGTATGTTTAAACTTGAGAGAACAGTTCTTCTGATGGAGTAGCAGAAAAAATTAATACAGGCAACAACTGCTTATGTGGGACCCAAGAAATGCTAGTTTATAAATCATTTCTAAGCAGGAAGGAACTTTGCAGAAAGCCACAACAGACAAGTCACAGAGGGATATTGATTACAGATATTGATTACAGAGGGATATTGATTTACATGATCATGTTGTAAATAATCACACAAATACTCTGGAATGTAAATACTGAATTTCATGTTGAGATTTCTCTGCTGATGGATTTGACATTTTTTTCTCTGTAATGAAGAAGTAGTGACGAACTCAAACCCAAGCCTTCTGCCAAACAGATGCAATGAAAATGGAGGGGGTTTTAAATGAAGTCTGGTAGTAGACAAAAAACGGGGGGGGGGGGACAGAAAGAGAGAAGATTCATATTTATCCAGTAGTTCTGTTTAGTAATCAATGTTCCAGGACTAAAAAGAGCTATTATGAATAAGAGAAATTCTAACAGTCAATAGTAAGAAAGAGGAGGATAGCCCAGTGTGGTAACCATAGATAAGGCCTTGGAAGGTCAAGAAGGATAGGGTCCACCTCATGCCTAGAAGAATGGTGCCACAAGCACAGAAAGACCAGCTCTAGTCATCTGTCAATTCATACAGAGCATATAAACTCAACATTAGAAGGGCACACTCTGGAGAAAGACTGCCTGGGTAAAATGCTGGATTGTTCCCTGACGGGCTCTGTGCCTTTGAGCAACTTATTTCTTATCTGCTAGCCTCTATTTCTTCACCTGTAAATGGGTTAACACTCTCCATAACATCAAGAATTTAATTAAGGTTAAATGAAATGATATGAAATGATAAAACATTTAGGACAGTTTATAGTATGCAGAAGTATGAAATAATTTTAAATTATTGGTATATTACTGAGTAAGTTTAAATCTATATGTATATTTACAACTCAAGAAAAAATAATCAGCATTAACTTAAAAATAATCTATATGACTTGAGCCATGAGTAACCAGATGTTTATAAATATATAATATTTAATCAAATAGGTTTTTAAAAATTCATATATTTTCCACCATGGTAATTACAGCCAATTTTCCCCAGTGAAAGAGAACATGTTCTCATTTACTATGAGTTAAAATCATTTATTATAGGAAATACCTGTTCTTGACTACCTGAAAAACCATTAAATTCTTAAAAGGATACTGTTAAGGATACATAGAAATTAATATGGTAGTTCTTGATGCCTTCAAGGTAAAATTTGAGTTTAGCATTATGTTCCTGCCCCTTTATAATCTAGGCTGATGTCTCCCTCATGCCTCATTGTTCATTCTCTTAGCCACCTACCACTAGCTACACATTCCAAGTACTTTCATCTCTGGCTCTTGGTAAGTGATATTTATCCACTCTAGAAATTCACCTCTTCCTCTCTCTATCTGACGATGTTCAACCTTGTTTCATAATCCACCTCAAGTAGCACATGCCCTGCATTGCAAAGGTTGAAAACTGGCCTCAGATGATTTTGTTGACATCTGTGGTAATTTTTTTTAACTTAAACTTAAATTTTTAATTTAAGTGGAATGCACTATCCAGTTTTCTAAACCTTCCCTGTCCCTATTGTTTTACACACAGCTCAACTCATCCATTTACAGGGATTACTTCATATTATAAACATCTGACTTGAAACTCTGGAAAACCCTTTTAAGCTCATTCCTCATTCCTCTTCCCACAGAAAGAATTAAACAATCTGTTCTCTGAACTCTCATAAAATAGGTT